AGTAGTAGTACGACTACTTAGTACTACTATAGAACGTTAAAAATAAATTTATTAATATCGTATGAGACCGACTAAAGCATACCATCGAATAACTTAATAAAAACCGAAATGAAGAAAGATCCAAGACAGAACTAATCCCAATCAATGTAGAAACACCGAAGAGGAAGAAGAACTGAAGCAAATCAGATCCCAAGAATCCATTTTGACAGCTGCGTTCATCTGCCATGTAAGCCCTGTTGTGCCACTTGGCCCGCCATCGGACAACTGAAAATACACGATTCAAGCAAGGGTCGGGTTGCGGCAGCCCATCCTAGGGACGTTTCCCCTCTCTTACCAAGCCTGCAACCTAACTACCCTTACCATCGCTCCGCATCGGTTCCTGCAGTAGACCGACCACAAACCTGATCGATCCATTCCCGCCGTTGAACACGTCTCATCTCAAATGTGAGCGAAATTCCAGGTTCTTCTTTGGTGAAGGAAGGGCAAAAAAAAGACGATTGATTGTTTGTCGCTCGGTCGCGCTCGCGCGCGCCGCGTTGCCTGCGCACACTACTATCTGCTGCGTCACTGGCTCACATGGACTACTAAAGTTACTTACTATCTACGTACTACTTCTTCCCAAATTTTAGGAACCTCCCAAAGTTGGTCTTAGGCCCCCGGTACTTTAGGTTTCGGAGTATCCCAGTACCTTGGATTTGACATAACGCCTTAAAGTTAAAAAAACATTACTATCTATCTACCCATCTATGTGCCCAATTTTATCCAGGTACAGTAAGTGGCTATTACTCTGTTACGTTTCCAAGTATCCATCTACCCCAGAATGATAGGGCAGATGCATGAACGGTAATCTTCTTTGCCTAGAATTCTAGCCCAAGTAGGTTCAATAATGCTGTACGCACTATGTCTTTTGCGCATCGCACCTGGCATATGACATCCTATCGGATAATAGGGTCTCCAAGCTATTCACTAACTTACTGGTATGATATGGGATGGGGGTCATGGCGGACCTGGCCGCTCTCGGCTTCTACTTCAAGTAACGACAAGAATCATATGAAAGGAATCGTTTCGCGGACATTACTACCTAGAACTTACCTAGGCCCATGAAATAACGGTGAAAAAATAATAATAATTTACAACAGGAGTAATAATAGCCATATTAATAAACGTTAGTATGAACAGGGATTCGTCCGCCTAGCCTGCGCGAGGCCCCCCCCGGAAGTACCTGGCTGGCAGGTCCGTAGTAAGTACTCTGCTGTAGTGCCACCCATAAGGCCGGGTATCCCATAGTACCGACTCTTAGCACCATGCCACAGAGAGGGTGGGCCCTACTCAGGACCGTTTCACCATTGGTGTAGAAATAATTTATTCCAGTCGCTTGTTTCTCGAAATTGCTAGTTGCCACTACTACTGCCAGATAGATTAGGTATACTTACGGACGTTTTTTTCGTTCGTGCTCTCTCTTATCAGAACTGGGGACCGGCTTTCGGATTTGGCTTCATCGGTTGTCGAATTACGTGCATACCGTGGAGCCCAAAGAATCCAAAGCAAGACCGAAAGGCAAGTCCAGAGCGAAGTCACCGACCCTCGAGAAAGCAAGATAGGCAAGGAGGAGAAGGGGGAAGACGGAAAATGGGGACTTGACAATGGGCACTGGCCAATTTGGCCCGGACAAGAGCAATCTTGACAACTGATTGACTGACTGACTTGCCCATGTGTGTGCGTGCGTTGCGTGGGTGTGAGTGAGTGAGTGGTGGGTGAGTGAGAGTTGACTTCTTTCTCCAACCTCCAACCAATTGTTCTCAGTCATTGCTCTGCTGATCTTACTCGAAATGTGGCCCGGGACGGTCCCAGTGTTGGAACATGGGCCATCCATTCCCTCAATTGCAGTGCACATCTTTGTTCCCTTCCCTTTTCCCTTTCCCGTTTTCCCTTTGAGTTTTCCATTTGGGAGAGGGAGGGTGGACTAAAGACAAAGAGGACATCCCCCAAATGGCGGACGGGATGCTCAGTGGGGCCGACTAGCTTAGCCGGCGAGTCAATCCCTCCCTTTCACGGGTTGAGTCTATTGGCTTCCAATGCAGCCAACTTCGGTTGAATGTCACGATGTCCCCCCGGCAGGACCAGGCTTGCTATCAGTGGCCGACCTGCTTATTGGTTAGTCGGATGTGCTGCCCTTTTTCCCATTCAATCCTTTAACACCCGCATCCTCTTTGCTCTCTGGCTCTCTCTTTCGCTCTACACCATCACCCCCCGCCCCGCCCAACAAAAGCCCCCACTTTCATTCGGTCTGGAGATGCTGACTGGCCCGATTTGCGCTCACTCGTCCATGTCTGTGGGACAGACAAGCCGCTGATAAGCCAGATAGGCTAAGAGATGATGCAGGTCCCAATTGGTAACGGGACCATAATCCAACAGCGTAGCGAGTAATACTACTGTAAGTTGTAGAACATCATCATTGCAAGGGCTGAACGAGTTGGCCGCCTTGTCATTTGATGGCAAAAATGTGATGGATGGTAAGCGCGCAGCTGTGATGTTGGGCCTCCAGAGCTGAGCGAGCAGGGGAAGGGAAGCATTGTGACTGGCAGAGAGGGAGGATGGGCAATCACAGAAGGTTGGCTACTATTTTGGGAGCAATAATACCTACGGTCTCGGATTGGGGTGTGTGGCAATTCACACACACAGCCATTCCCATGAGAATGCTAGTTAGTAGGTTGCTCATAAATACGGTAACAGAGGAAAAATGGGTAAATTACGTGAGACAAACGGAAATTGTGGCCAACTTTCTACTTTCACACACACACACTCTCTCTTTATCTCTGTCTCCCACTTCTCCTGCAGTCAATCATTGCTATCAGGTAATGGAATCATATTCCTCAAGCCTAAACTACTCGGCCGTTACGAAGAGATTTTCTGGGGGGGAAAAAGAGAAGGGGGGGGGGGCTTAAAGTGGCCATTTGGACCACCACGAGTGGGAATTGAAAGGCGTCAGTCACACCTGGTACGACCTACTATATCAGGTATCGTATAGATAGGCGTCGTACCTCAGGAGCCAGGTATCTTGTGGCATTTCTCCCACACGCTCATGCCATCGCGGCCTCCTATTGGAAATGGTCATCTCCGCATTTACCAGGTCATTACGGTAGGACGTGGGTTCCGTAATAATGGGCTTGGAGGACCGACCATTTTCTCATGCACCATTGAAATGGGGCTTTGAGGGCCGCCAATGTTCCCACTCGTGCTCATGTGCCCCACGCAACTTACGCCTTTTTGGGCTCCGCGGCCGACAAGGTGGGGCCCAGTTTCTGGCTAGTCCGGTCGGGGATTCGTCGTCTCTTGTTAACTTCTGATCCAACTTACTACAACTTTTCTGTCCATCCACTCTGCTCTCCCCCCATTCCCCTCTCTCTCTCTCCCTCCATCCCTCCCTCCTTCCTCCACCCAGAACCCACTCACCCAAATTGAGGAATGGCACAACATGTCCCGGCTAACTTAGGTTGGTCGGGTTCTACCTCTACCTGCCTAGGTTGAATATTGCTCTGCTCCTGCTGCTAACTAAACTAAACTAACTACTAACTGCTGCTGATGCCGCTGACTGTGATGATGAAGAAGCCCGCCGAGGAGGGTTCCACCTCCCGTTGGTCTCCGCTCCCAAGTTTCTCATTCGGTTGGTACTGAGATGTGCACCGGCGCCAATCTGCTATTCTTTGCCGCCCCAGACTAGAAAATCGACTTACCCAGGACGGATGTGCATAAGGATAAAAAAAAGTGGGCAGGTATGATGATAATCCGAGGATAAATGATCCCCCAAAATTATTTGGGGTCGAGAAGAAGGCTGTGGGAGAAATAAAAAAAAAGAGGGAAATGGAAAAATCCAAGATAATAATAATTCACAAAAAAAGGGTTCAAAAAATGAATTCCGAAAAGAAATAAAAATAAATCTTACGAAAAGAGAATAAAATAAGAAAATAATAATAATAAAAAAAGGAAGAAAAAGAGAGTCTCCGAACATATGACACCATACCATTCCGGCAGATTTATTAGTTGATTTATTACTATATTACGATTACTACTACTATTATAGTAGTGACCGTTCGCTGCTGGCACCACCACCAGCGAAAGTAAAGTTCCATGCAGCCCATCTCGCCCAAAAAGGCTTTCAGACTAAAAAGTACGGCTCCAGTCCTACTGCTCACTACTCACGGCGCTACCAGCTCGTAGCACAAGCAGATCAGTCGCTCTTTTATCCACTGCCCATCCTTCTGGCCGGCTTTCCTCTTTCCATATCGGCCCTGTCTCTCATTTTCCCCGCGACTGTCCTCGTCCTTCAAATTAATCTTCTTTATTTCTTATTTTTTCCATTTTTGCCCTTTTTAGACTTGTCTCGATCCTCATCTGGTCTTTCCTTCCTCTCTTCCCTCTCTCTTTTATCTCTCTCTCTTAATCTTAATTGTCTGCCCTCTTTTTCTCTCTTTTACTTTTGCGACTCTATACAGTCTCTCCCGGTTTCCTTGAATCGAGAACGTCCTGAACCATACTCATCTTTTGGTTTGGCTCGTTTCGACATACAAGGTGCCTGTCCTTCCTTCATAGACTTGCGGCATAGTCGTCAGATATAATCCCAGATACCACCAACACGACATTCAACCTTTCTATCAAGAACGAAACAGTCGTTTCTCACAGCATACCAACCAATCAATCAATCAGTCAATCTCGCATCTCATATATACTCTACTGGTTGAGAGCGGTTCCTGGATTATCATCTGTCCTCCCCCCAGTCATTCTCTCTCAAAGCGCAAGCAACTCTGCAAGACATTCATTCACCCTCAGCGCTCATCGCTGTGGACGAGCTACCAACTATATAACTAATAACATTCACTAAAGAGTAGAGCTACTTCTACTCTTGTATTCACAACGTCCTACCATCTGTGAGTGCGCCTCTTCCTATTCCAGGCGCAGTGCGAGTGACTGACCGGGTTCCCTGTTCTTTATCTCTAGACACAATGGACGGAACATACACCATGGCACCTACTCCGGTGCAAGGTCAACCATCTTTTGCATACTACCCTGATTCGCAGCAAAGACAACATTTCACCAGCCACCCCTCAGATATGCAGTCATACTATGGCCAAGTGCAGGCCTTCCAGCAACAACCACAGCACTGCATGCCGGAGCAGCAGACTCTCTACACTGCCCCTCTTATGAACATGCACCAGATGGCTACCACTAACGCCTTCCGTGGCGCCATGAACATGACTCCTATTGCCTCTCCTCAGCCGTCACACCTCAAGCCCACAATTGTTGTGCAGCAGGGCTCTCCTGCCCTGATGCCTTTGGACACGAGGTTCGTCGGTAACGACTACTACGCATTCCCCTCCACCCCACCACTCTCCACAGCTGGAAGCTCAATCAGCAGTCCGCCTTCTACCAGCGGCACTCTTCACACCCCAATCAATGACAGCTTCTTTGCTTTCGAGAAGGTGGAGGGTGTCAAGGAGGGATGCGAGGGAGATGTTCATGCAGAGATTCTGGCCAATGCTGACTGGACCCGATCTGACTCGCCGCCTCTTACTCCTGGTAAGTTGTTATCTAACCCGTTGTCCTTTTACTTGGGTGCCAGATTGGAGGGATGAGTGCGTCCAACGGAAAATGCACGGGGCCGGACATCTAGGGTTGTACAGGGAAACTAACTCGACTTGTTCTAGTGTTCATCCATCCGCCTTCCCTCACCGCCAGCCAAACATCCGAGCTTCTGTCAGCGCACAGCTCTTGCCCATCTCTTTCCCCATCGCCATCTCCCGTGGCCCCCACATTCGTTGCCCAGCCTCAAGGTCTGCCGACCGAGCAGTCCAGCTCCGACTTCTGTGACCCCCGTCAGCTGACGGTCGAGTCCTCCATCAATGCCACCTCTGCAGACCTGCCGCCTCTGCCCACGCTTTCTTGCGATGACGAGGAGCCTCGCGTGGTTTTGGGCAGCGAGGCCGTGACCCTTCCTGTCCATGAGACTCTCTCGCCCGCCTTCACCTGCTCCTCTTCGGAGGACCCTCTCAGCAGCCTGCCCACCTTTGACAGCTTCTCGGACCTGGACTCGGAAGACGAATTCGTCAACCGCCTGGTCGACTTCCCCCCTAGTGGCAACGCCTACTACCTGGGCGAGAAGAGGCAGCGTGTGGGAACGACATACCCTCTCGAGGAAGAGGAGTTCTTCAGTGAGCAGAGCTTCGACGAGTCTGACGAGCAGGATCTCAGTCAGTCCAGTCTTCCTTACTTGGGAAGCCACGACTTCACTGGCGTTCAGACCAACATCAATGAAGCCTCGGAGGAGATGGGTAACAAGAAGCGGAACAACCGCAAGTCGCTGAAGCGGGCTAGTACCTCGGACAGCGAAACGGACTCGATTAGCAAGAAGTCGCAACCTTTGGTCAACAGCCGTGCCACCAGCACGGAGACAAACGCCTCGACACCCCAGGCTGTCCAGGCCCGCCACAACTCCGACGCGCATTCTTGCGCTTCTGAGGCTCCTGCTGCCCCCGTTTCGGTTAACCGACGTGGTCGTAAGCAGTCCCTGACGGACGATCCCTCCAAGACCTTTGTGTGCACTCTCTGCTCCCGTCGCTTCCGTCGCCAAGAGCACCTCAAGCGTCACTACCGCTCCCTCCACACTCAGGACAAGCCTTTCGAGTGCAACGAGTGCGGTAAGAAGTTCTCGCGGAGCGACAACCTTGCGCAGCACGCTCGCACTCATGCGGGTGGCTCTGTCGTGATGGGCGTCATCGACACCGGCAATGCGACCCCGCCAAACTCCTATGAAGAACGAGACCCTAGTACGCTGGGGAACGTTCTCTACGAGGCCGCCAACGCCGCCGCTACCAAGTCGACAACCAGTGAGTCGGATGAGAGTTCCTCTGACTCGCCGACCGTCGACCGACGGGCGCCCAAGAAGCGCAAGCGCGACAGCGACGCCTAGACTGGCGTCCGCTTGGCTTGCAGCTATCACGATGATATGTGACCAGGAACTCCCCATATATCACTTAATAACATCCTATACATAACCTTCCATTCCACTGGTTGGTCTGACTTGGTCTTGCGGTTTGGCGTCCGGGCTTTGTTTCTGGCGGTGACCAGAATAGGAATTACAGGTGTACGGGTTTTGACCGGTTCTGGTGCCCTACTCAAAAAAGGAAAAGAAAAAACGAAAACGATACAAACCATGAGTAAAGGGCACCCTTTATGGGACCGAATATTGGCGAAGCATTAGACCGGCGGCAACGGAACTTGGGCGCACTTGGAGTCCACGGTTGGACCAAAACTAATTAGAGCGCATGATGACTTTCACATTTGAGGCACTGGTGATCTGGGTTGATCTTTTCTCCGATTCCCCTTTCTACTCCTTTTTACCTTTCTTTTTTACCATCTGTTTGCAGCGAGAGAATATCTCCGACTCAATCCTCGCGCGACGGGGGCTATTGACCCCCTGTCCGCGATTTTCTGTGTACCCGATCTCCCACCTTTTTTCCTTACCAGCTTCTGCTATATACTTTATTCTTCTTCTTTTGTTGCCTTCAGTTGCATTCATTGTGCCTATTCGATGTAATATTTTGCACACTCCTGTCATCCTGCCTATTGCAGAAACATCCCCCCAATCAATTTGTGCTGGCCACATGTACAATTTAATACTACCAAATTTCCCCAATCGTTGCCTCATATCCTTGTGCGCATCCTCCTATTTCCTTCTACTCTTGTCAGTTGCATCCACATGTGCATAATACTTGTGTGCCATTTGTGTGGAGCGTATTGTTCGTTCTGCAACTTAGCTAGTATAATTGATATTTTGAACATATCACAACTCATACCAGTAGACTGTAAGCTAGCGTTGTATAATAGTATGGTTGTAGTCTTAGCTATATGCAGCCTATAGATACTTGATAGTATGGCTCGGGCGGCTGCAGTCGGCTTTCCGAGTCTGGCCTCGAACGTCACCCGCAGAACAGAACAAAACCGTGAACTTGATTTCTCCACATATATTTCTAGCTCCCTCAAAACCACACAATTATTCTAATTGAACCTTCTCATCATCCCAGTCCAAATTTCAATATACACCTAACCACTCAACTCTCCACCCGACTCCAGCAAAAAGAGGTGACGAGGGGCCCGATCAATCCTCTACTAAAGGGGAGTGGGAAAGAAAAAAAGCAAAGAAAAATTCCCCCGCACTCAAATCACTATCTACTCCTCTCCCACAATTCAATACAAAACATGTCTACATCAACTACACCATCTCTCCCCCTCCCCACCTCCCCAACAAGTTTAAATGTCATCGCCTTGATCTCGGGAGGTAAAGACTCCCTATACTCTATTCTCCACTGCATCCGGAACGGACATAAGGTCGTTGCGCTGGGGAATTTGTATCCGCCTACTACCACCACAACTACTGCTCATCATGAGGAGAAGTCACAAGGAGATGGCAATGATGAAGATGAAGAAGAAGAAGACATCGACAGCTTCATGTACCAAACAATCGGACATAGCATTATCCCGCAGTATGAATCCGCGTTAGGAATTCCGCTGTATCGGCAGCAGATTATAGGGTCTGCGGTGGATACGGGGAGGGTTTATCGTGATTCTTCTTCTTCTTCTTCATTATCGACCGGAGGAGAAGGGAATGAGGGAGACGAAACCGAATCCCTCATCCCGCTCCTCCAACGCATCAAGGCCGCTCACCCAGAAGCCAACGCCATCTCTGCCGGCGCTATTCTCTCCACGTACCAACGCACCCGGATTGAGAACGTCGCAGCGAGGATGGGTCTCGTGCCGCTCGCTTGGCTGTGGCAGTACCCGGTGTTGCCTGCGCCGGAGGAGAGGTTTGGTCTTGGTGGAGAAGCGGGTCTATTGGAGGATATGGCTGCTGTTGGGTGCGAGGCGAGGATCATCAAGGTTGCGTCTGGGGGATTGGATTCGGGGTTTTTGTGGGAGGATGTGTCGGGGAGGAATGCGGGTGTTAGGAGGAGGATTATCAATGGGATGAAGAGGTTTGTCTTGGATGGTGGGGATGTGAGGGGCGCGGTGTTGGGTGAGGGTGGTGAGTATGAGAGTTTGGCGTTGGATGGGCCGGGTTTCCTTTGGAAGAAGAGGATTGAGGTCCCCAGGTGGGAGGAGGGCGCTGGGGAGGGGGGTGTTGCGTTTGTGAGGGTTAGGGGCGCGAGGTGTGTGGATAAGGATGGGGATGGGGATGGGGTGGTGCCCGGGGATGTGCGGAGGCCGGTGTTGTTGGATGAGGGGTTTAAGGGGGTGTTGGAGGAGGTATTGGGTAGTGAGGAGGTGGTAGGGAAGAGGGAGGCAAAGGTGTCGTCGTCTCAAGGGCAGATGGAGGTGTTGCAGAGTACGAATGGTGGCACGTGGGTGGTTGCTAATATCTCGGCCCCTGAGGCTGGTCCTGGGGCTGCGGAGCAGATGGAGGCGATCAAGGAGAAGATTGAGGCGATTCTGGCTTCTACTGGGCGTGAGGATGGGACTGCGTCTCGGACTACGGCTGATATTGTCTTTACGACGGTGCTGCTGCGCTCCATGGTGGACTTTGCCTTGATGAATGGCATCTACGTCTCCTTGTTCAAGAAGCCCAATCCTCCGGCGAGAGCTACGGTGGCTTGCGGCGATAGTCTGCCAGAGGGTGTGAAGGTCATGGTATCGGCGGTTGTGGATTTGGGTCCTCGAGAGCAAAGGCAGGGTCTTCATGTCCAGTCGCGTTCTTACTGGGCGCCGGCTAATATCGGCCCTTACTCGCAAGCCATGTCGGTTCCGGTACAGGGTTCGGAGCACATGGTTTACATTGCCGGACAGATTCCGCTGGAGCCGGCTTCGATGGAGATGATGAGTGCTTCAGGGGAAGCACTGACGCGGCCGTGGATTGAGAACTATGCCACGCGGTCGGTGCTTTCCTTGCAGCATCTTTGGAGGATTGGGCACGCTATGGAGGTTGACTGGTGGCTGGGCGCTGTTGCTTTCTTGGTGGGAGAAGAGCACATTGAGACACAGGCCCGGCTGGCATGGAACATTTGGGAGCGGATGCATGCTCGTCATGAAGAAGAAGACGACGAAGACGGAGAATCAGCCTTGGATGTCTGGGATATCAAGTATGGAGGCCGAGCGCACGAGCAAGCCACGAGTCCATCGACACCTAACTTGCCTAACTTTGGGGTGGTTCAGTCAGACGCTTTGGTTCCTGCGTTTTTCGCAGTCCAGATATCAGAGCTTCCCCGAGGAAGTGATATCGAATGGCAGGGTCTGGGGTACAGGTGTGGTGGATTGCGGATGGCTGCAGAAGATACGGAGTATGGCCGCAAGACCACTGTGTCCACAGAGCAGAACCTCAGCTACATCGGCATTGAGATCGACATGGAACAGTCGGGATCTGATTTGGACTCGTATCTGCAGCTTGTCCTGCAGAAGCTGCCTGAGGTGGCACAAGGTTCTCACGCGATCATCTATACCAGTCAGCCATTGTCCAAACCTGCGTTCTCCGCGCAGATTGTTCCCTGCAAATCTGTCTGGGGAGCGAAAGGACGAGAGTTGGCAGCAGGTGTCATTATACAAAGACACACCCCGGCATCATAGGCGTGCTGCTTGCTGTAAGGCTGCCGGGCCATGCAGGGGTCCATTGCGCACGGCTTTCAAGTATGCATCATGGATCATTCGACGTCTTAGAGTGGAGGCACCGATACAAAAGTACATATCTCCTGACTCGTAGCGGAAATAGGAGCAACAATGTAGTGAATAAGCTTTTGTAAGATTCAGGAGTGACGATGGGTTCACTTGATGGGCTGATTCCAAGAGGCTCTCCTGCTGACGTGCTGCGCGGCATGTGATAAGCGAAAAAACCCGCCTTTCCGCCCTGGGATTCCGGTTCGATCAAAGCGATAACATTCTCACTTCATCTTCTTCTTCGCTGCTGCCACCCCACGCACCTCTCTTGGGTCAATTCTCCTGGTATATTGACACACCTTCTGTTTGACCCCGGTCATCTGGTTTTGTCATCGCTAACCCTCCGTCTTAACCCAGTGCTCCTCCACCGACCCCATCAGTCGATATGACGTACTCGCTCTAAAGGCCGCTCATCACCCACCATCCATGCCATGGCCGTTTCGCTGAGCCAGGAGGAAGATGAATCGCTTCCTGTCAACGGTTCTGCCCTCGAAATAGAGCTGTCTGACACTCCCCGACAACCCTCTCGTTCCCCTCACCCGTATCGTCGCAAGGGCTCGCATTCATCGTCGCTGCCTGCGGATACCGGCGACCGATCAACCCGTCTCCACTGGCCACGGACCTCGAGCGATAGTGGCACCGAGGCTGATGATGAAAGCACGGGCATACTGAGGGGTCTACCAGCAGCACCTTTGCGACCAAGGAAAGGGTTGCGTTCGGGTCGTCATGCTGTTGGCGAGGAAGACCAGTGGTTTCCCCTATTGCGCCCGTGGCCATCGATAACCCGTTCCACCTCACGGAGCTCGCGGCGGAGCTCAGGAGAAGAAGCTGAGACCTCAGCGACAGGGTTGCGCGAACAGGAAGCTCGGAAGCGGCGTATCGGGATTCTGCAGAGGTTGTTGGAGGCTGCGTTGCTCCTCTCGGTGGGCGGTGTCGTTCTGGGACAAGAAAGCACGAGGGCGATTGCTTGGGCTTGGAGAAAAGGTGCGCGAGATATAATAGTGTATTTGAGAGCTTGTCCCTGTGGTTGCTAATGTTCCCTAGAGCTTCTTGCCCATTCCCTACTTGTCGGTGGGCTTTACGCCGCTTATCCTTTCCATCGAGATGGACGTTTTCGCTTCTCAAGACTACGGTCCTTTGTTATCCCTACGAGTTTCGATCCTGCTCCGCTGCTTTACCCGATCTTGATACCCATTTACGTTGCTTTGTCTTTAGCGCAGCATAGTCCTACTCTAATACTCCCTAATGTCCTCCTCAGTCTCTCATCTC